TTGGGCTGGGTGTGCACATGCGTGAGGAAACTAGCAGCTTCTCTTCAGTTTCGTGTCTTCTAGGATTTTCCTCTGACTGATGAGAAACTGCTGGCAGTATTTCAAGCACTGCATTTCTTAGAGACATGACAATTAGCATGTGCAGTGCATCTCCACATCCTGTTTATCCTGGTTTCCCCAGGAAGGCAGACGGGCATTCGTCTTCTACACCCTGGCTCGTCAACCCAACTGACACAATCTAAAAAGTATGAAAATAAAAGAAAGCAACGTGTCAGAAAACAGCGTGCTGAGAAAGGGCAGTGAAAGGGGAAGGAAGCATCTGCTTTTAGATCTTCAAGTTCATGCAAACTTTCTTCACGTTTTCTTGTCCTATCCTATTTATTTTGAACAATTAGCTTTAACTTTGATTTGGTTTTTTTTGTTTGGTTGGTTGTTTTTTATTCTGAATTGGAAACACACTGTTTGCTTTTGCCAGAAGTCAGAGAGATCACACACATCTTTAGTAAAAGAACTGGTTCTTTAAACAAAGGTAATCTATCAGAGTTTCTGGAAGTATTTAGTGAGGCATAGATGAAACTAAATTGGGCTGAAGAACTGGGGAATGAATACAGACAGAACTGTGAATAATGGTCACGCTAAATACAACATATGAGAAGATGACCACCCGTAGGGAAGATACATACTGGGACAGTTTCTCAGGAACTGGTCTGGGGTTAAACTGTCACTTGTGAGGCCACCAGTGAATTCTTTTTTAAAATTTATCCCGTATTCCCACGCACGTCGCCCAAGTATATACAAACAAAGAAATATGTGTGCATACATATGTGTAACGCAATGTCCTAAAGATATTAGCTGAAGCTAAAGATTTGGGAGGCATTGTCAGTACAGGACAACGACACTGAGGAATGAAATAACCAAACAATATTGAGGAATAGAGTGACAGAAAAAAGGGTAGTGGAATCCAACTGTACGAAACAGAATCATGCACTTTGAGAGTAACAAGAAGAATTGATGTCACAAGGTAGAAAAATCACCAACTAAAATACAGAAAGTGTCACAAGTTATTCAGAGTCACAAATTTGCTGCCAGCACACAGAAAGCAAACATATGGATAATGTTACAGGTCACGTATTTCCAGTGAAGATAAAGACATACCGATGCCACTCTACATGGCAGAATGGACATCACCAAGGTCAGGGATCATCTACTCATGCATCATCAGTTCTGTGCTGGAGGAAGAAATTCCAGCCCTTCAGCGAGAATCCGAAGCATTATCACAACATAAATAACAATTTAATTGCCAGTACTGAGATCGTCCTAACAGTGTTATGAGTGCCCAGCAAGCTTAAAACGCTGCCTTGGCACAGCAGGGATCTCCAGCAGAACAAAAGGTCCTGAAGGCAATTAACTGTAATTTGAATCCTTGCCACAGAGCAGAAACAAAACATCATGGAAGATCACAAATACACACGCATGCCAACGGTGTCAGCGAAGCAGTTACAATACGTTCCACAATTGTCTGGCTGCAAAGGCATTACTGATACAGCCCATGACCTTTCCTGAGCTGCCCTGACAAGAAACAGTTGAAAGCTGGCCTTCAAACATAGAAACCTGAACCAGTTGATGTAGGTGTAACGTGTATCTGCAAAAGAAAGGTAAGGATGGGAAAGAAAATTAAAAAAAACCCAACAAACAGCAAGAGAAAAGCGTACTCCAATCGCAAAGAACACGAGCAGATTAACTTGCACGGGGGGAAGGGGTGGTTTTCTGTTAGTGATGCTGCCATCTTGCAGCTCTCATTTCAGGGCCCACGGATACTAACGGAGACTGAACGTTCCGCACAGTTGATAAAGACTGTAAAAACTAAGCATAAGCAACTAGAACACTACTCATAAAAGGACAATCTCAACAAGCTGCCAGCAAGAGATAACGCCCTTTATCGGTGCCTGTATGCGTATGACATATATATATGCACATGGGGCACTGTAGGCAAGAAAAGTGCAAAGGGTAAAGTACTTTTCATATTTAGTCAATCATTTATTTCTCTGCTGAATTTCCAAAATACATTTCTATACAGATACTGCATCCAATATCCAGCAGCAACACTTAACTAGCCTACGGATCCATTCACACAGGTGTCAGCCTTAATGACAGACTGATACAACAGAGCTGAACAAACACCCAAAGTTTTTTTCCTCTCTCAAGTATCATTTCTTGGAGACATTAAAAAACGAAAAAATCAACTGCTATTAATAAGCAGCTCTCTGCTCCTCCCTCCTCTTCAAAAAAAACCCCCACTAAAAATAATGCATTGTGCTCAGTCCACCAGAGAATTCCAGGCTTAAAAAAAAATCAAAAATTAGAAAGATACTACCAGTAGAAAAACAGTAAGAAATGACCTATTGTTTTCATTTCTGAATACTGTTGCATAATCAGCACTTGGAAGAGCTTACAAGGCTTAAAATAATTTGCACTGGCACGTCAAAGTGTTTACAGCTCAGAAAAGTCTCGACATAATCTGATCCTGACAAATCCCACCCATCTACTCTTTTTTCCCTCCCCGACATGGAAAGCCCGATTTTACTTTTGCAGTCAGTCAGTCTCTTAACTTCTACAGTTCCCTCTCTCTAAACGCAACCTGCATTCACGCAGTACCAAGCACCTTGCACAATACTACAATGCACAGGAAACAGTAAGAAACGTGACTGCAGGTCTATGTTCCGTCTTCTTCCTTTCTTTTCAGGACAGTTAGAAGTCACACTTGCCAAAGACATTCTGGAGCAATTCTCCCTGTAGCTACAGGCAGAGCACAAGGACATGCTGCTTGCAGTTCCTAGCTTGATATACTCCCCAGATATTTGGAGCCCACTGGCCAACCCCTAATTCGGACAAAAAGAGGACAAAGAAAAGAAAATAACTAAAAAAAATAATTAAAAAAAAAAGCTTTTGCCGTGCAGAGGAAAGAGTTAGCCTAGCCCTTCTGCTAAAAGAAAGGCTCAGGGTTACGTGTCTGGCTTGCCAGCCAGCCAATTTACAGCAGCACATGCTTCTCTGTGTCTACGCAGTCGTAGGGGACACGGGACGGAGCTAAGAATACAGAGGGAGAAGAAGTCAGGGTCATGGACAGAAAAGGAAGGGAAGGAAATTTACAGTGAAGGGGAAATACAAGGCATTACAGGAGGGGAAAAAATAAAATCAGACAAGGGGGAAGAGGAGAAAAGCTGGACGTTAAAAACATAGGACAAATCTATGCACGTCCAGCTTCCACTGCTCCATTGCTCATTGAATCATAGATTCATAGAATCATAGAATGGTTTGGGTTGGAAGGGACCTCAAAGATCACCCAGTTCCAACTCCCCTGCCATGGGCAGGGACACCCTCCACTACACCAGGTTGCCCAAAGCCTCATCCAACCTGGACGTGAACACTTCCAGGGATGGGGCAGCCACAGCTTCTCTGGGCAACCTGTCCCGGTACCTCATCACCCTCAGAATGAAAAAATTCTTCCTTAGATCTGGTCTAAATTTCCCCCCTTTCAGTTTAAATCCATTGCCCCTTGTCCTGTCACTACACGCCCTTGCCCAAAGCCCCTCTCCAGCTTTCCTGTAGGCCCTTTAGGTACTGGAATCATAGAATCATAGAATGGTTTGGGTTGGAAGGGACCTCAAAGATCATCTAGTTCCAACCCCCCTGCCATGGGCAGGGACACCCTCCACTACACCAGGTTGCCCAAAGCCTCATCCAACCTGGCCTTGAACACTGCCAGGGATGGGGCAGCCACAACTTCTCTGGGTAACCTGTTCCACCGCCTCACCACTCTCAGAGTGAAAAATTTCTTTCTTATATCCAACCTAAATCTGCCCTCTTTCAGTTTAAATCCATTGCCCCTTGTCCTATCACTACACGCCCTTGTAAAAAGCCCCTCTCCAGCTTTCCTGTAGGCCCCCTTTAGGTACTGGAAGTCTGCTGGAAGGTCTCCCCAGAGCCTTCTCTTCTCCAGGCTCAACAGCCCCAACTCTCTCAGCCTGTCTTCATAGCAGAGGTGCTCCAGCCCTCGGATCATCTTCGTGGCCCTCCTCCGGACCCGCTCCAGCAGTTCCATGTCCTTCTTGTGTTGGGGGCCCCAGAGCTGAATGCAGTATTCCAGATGGGGTCTCAATATTTCTCATGAAATACCCTGTCAGAGGCAGCTGGATTTGTCACCTCTCTCAGACACTTTAGACATCTTGGATCAGCTACCAAAAGCCCTCATCTAATTTCTTACTAGTTTTAGTTTACACATTAACTGTTTCAATATTCCTGAAGGCTACCATGACTCTGCAAAAAAAAAGAGATTGAGGATGGGGAGGCGGAAAACAGGGACGCAATAGGAAAATTTTTGTGGAGGGGAAAAAAGCAAGCTACTTTCTTAGCACAAGTTCCTCCCAATGCATGGAATTAAAGTAACGTCTCTACCTCCCAGCTAGCCCCATCCAAGGCTTATTTTTAGATGCTCTGTCCGACTCTGCACACGGATGTTTCTTACTGATATGGCTTGGTCCCAATCCATGGTCTGGTAGGAAAAAGCCAGGGCTAGGACAGAGAGGCTAACCCTTTTCTATCACTAGCAAGACTGAACTCAAGAATTAACTTTTGCCAACTACGAGATAAGGCTCTTCAGCTGCTAAAGCTTTACCCAATTCAACCAGCGCAAAAACTAAGCCGGTAAATAGGAAGAACGAGCGACCCCGCATTTGGCACAAGGAAGCAGCAGTATTGATTGCGCAAACCGCAGCAAACCACGGGAAGAGCAGGCTGACGGAAGGAGGTCTTTATCAGAAGTCCTTGTACTCTAGGTATCCCTGTAGTAAACTCGAAATGATCACCGATTCCCCCATCTTCCGTACTCGTTTTTGGCTGTGGCCCAGTACACCTCCTGCAAGCGGTTTACCCCCAGAACAAGGTGCACCGGGCGATTTACCAGATGAAGATAAGATATTTGACAATCACACACTACCAACCTTGTTTGTTCGTGGGTTTAGCATCAGTGGCTTGCCTTTTTCTTTCGTGTGCGCACGGCGACACGCCATCGCACAGGGAGCGGCCGCTACTCTTAGTCGGGACAACATTTTTCTTTTTTATACCGTACCTGCCAAAAAGGAAAAGAAAATAATTCAGACACAGAGGCAGTGGGACTAACATTCACCTTTGCAGGCCATCTGTTGTAAAAGAAATAGGTACATGCTAAGTAAGAGTCTTTTCTCAAATAGCATAATAACAACCCAAAATTGCCTTGTGGCAGCCAGGAGGAAGAAAAAGCAGGAAGGCTCTACAGCGAGAGTGCATGAATGAGTGCAGAGAGCACACAGGGACACTGGCCAGCATTCCCTAGGTATTGTCTCACAGCTGCACTGTAAACCCAGAGCAAAACTGCCACCAGCAAATATTAACCTTCCGTGGTGAGCCGTGCAACTGGCACCAGAGCAAATACCATGGAGCACGTAATGGCTTGGGCTAGTGCAGCAAGAAGATTTCAGCAGAGTTTCTCCAATAGCTTCCTCACAATGAAATCTTGTGGCCTGGACAACAGAAAGGAAAGAAACTATGTCTGTTAGCATATTAAAACTAGATTAGAACAAAACGTAGAACTAAAATGGTAAAAAATTCACTGAAGTCTGGATTCCATCCTTAGATTTTTTAAATTTTAAACTTATAAAAAAAGGTTATTTTCAGAGAGGATATATGCTTTCAACAAAGGAAATGTTTCCCTAACAAAAACAAAAATTTGCTAGTACCAGTCAACAGCTTAGTTCTTAATCTCACCAGGCCATAACCACTTATTTGGTTAACCCATTCTATTCAACTACTAATAAACCCATTTTATTCAACTACTAATTGCAAGCTCTTTGGAGCAGAAATTATCATTTATTACATGCTTTGATAAGGCAGTACCACCAGGGAATGTGTAGTGGCCTCATCTCTAAACATTATTTCACCAACACGGACAGACAACAGCAACTGCAGCAAGACAATGGGATACCATCCAGAGGGACCTTGACAGGCTGGAGAGGTGGGCCTGTGAGAACCTCATGAAGTTCAACAAGGCCAACTGCAAGGGCCTGCACATGGGTCGGGGCAATCCCAAGCACAAGGAGAGGCTGGGCGGAGAATGGATTGAGAGCAGCCCTGAGGAGAAGGACTTGGGGGTGGTGGTGGATGAGAAGCCCAACATGAGCCGGCACCGTGTGCTGGCAGCCCAGAAAGCCAACTGTGTCCTGGGCTGCATCCAAAGCAGCGTGGGCAGCAGGTCGAGGGAGGTGATTCTGCCCCTCTGCTCTGCTCTCCTGAGATCCCCCTGCAGTGCTGCGTTCAGCTC